AGAGCAAAGAGAACAGCAACCCCTGCAGCACTCCACACAGTAGGGGCTGGGGTGGGATCTCTCCCCCGTAATCACCACCAACTGGAATCAACCCCAAAGAAAGGAGGCGAACCCGCAAAACACCATGCTGCACACTCCCAATACTCTGAGTCGATCCAGAAGGATACCACAGTCAATGGTATTGAAAGCCGCTGAGAGGTCAAGTAGAGCAAGGATGGATGCACAACTCCCATCCTGCTCATGCCAGAGATCATACAAAAGTGCAACCAATGCCATTTCTGTCCCACACCCAGGTCTCAATCCTGACTGAAAAGCATCCAGATAATCCGGTTCATCCAGGATCCTCTGAAACTGTTGCACAACCATCTTCTCAACCACCTTTTGCAAAAAGAGGAGGTTAGATACGGGACAAAAATTGTCCAGTATAGTCAGGCCCAGCAATGGCTTCTTGAGGAAGGGGTAAACCAATCTCCTCACTCGAAGAATTTACCAACGCTAGGACCCACTCACATGACACTCCCCTGAGCTGCCTTAACAAGCCAGGAGGGGCATGGATCAAATGAGCAGGTAGCTAAGCTCACAGTTCTAAGGATCCTGTCTACTTCATCAGGTCCAACAGGCTCAACTGTTCCCAGATAACTGGGCAAGACTCTAACTTAGGCATCTCCTCCAGACCTGCAATAAGGCCAGCATCCAACTATGAGTGAATTCAAGCGACTTTATGTGACAGATGCTGAACAAATTCTTCCGCACATTCCCTCAGAGGGTTTCCAAGCCCCCTCTACCCAAGAGGGCACATGTCACCCAAAACAAGGCCACAGGATGGCTATCTGCAGATGCAATAAGGGAAAAGTACTGATGCTTCACTGCCTTTACTACCACAAGGTAGGCCTTAATAGTGGTTCTAACCTATGTCCAGTTGAGTTCATCCCCTGTAGAACACTAGCGATGCTCTAGACATCTCTTCTCTCGTTTCATCTGCCTTAACTCCTCCAGGAACCATGTAGAATGCCAGGATCCATGAGAGGGGAGAGGTAGCATAGGCATGATCCAATCCAAAGCCTCAGCAGCCCTCTTATTCCAGGCGGTGACCAAGGTTTCAGATGGACCATGCAGCAGACCAGCAGGAACAATCCCCAGCTCCCTCTGAAACCCATGAAGGTCCATCAGTTGTTGGGGGTGGGCTGATCTAATGCCAGCCTTTGCTAAAACTCCCCATCTTGTCTGGAACAAAAGTCTGACCTACTTATATAAGACAAGAGACATGATTAAATATGAGAGCTATATCCAAAGAGGGTAGTATCCCAAATCAGATACATATTCTTGATGTTATTTGATATCAACTTTGATCCATTTTCCACCAGAAGCACTGGGAAATTGGATCTAACTCCTGTACTGGATTGGGTTTCCACTCATGTTCTGAAGAAATGGAACTATAATTACAATGAAATGAACTATATAACCTACAAGACAAAGTTGAGCAATTTTAAGCTAAAGATTTAAATCATGTCTTCCTCAGAGTTGATATTTTAGGTTAACAAAACCAATTTTCATTTTATATTTATTTATTTATTAAGCATATTTATGTGGCCACCCATGTACCAAAGTCACTCTAGAAAGTGAACAAAGATAAAAACAAAACCAAATTCATAGTCTGAAAGAAAAACCAGGTAGTAATTATGGTTATGTGCGCAATCTGTCATACAGTGACTCTTATATGAAACCAGCTAAAAATGATCCTCTACTCATTTTAACACAACTTGCAAAGATTATTTTCTAATAGATCAGTTTCTATTAATTATAACAAATATGGCATATTTAGGAAGCATTATTAACATTTAAGTCACTAGGTTTCTCTTTTTAGTGATGCACAATAATAATAATTTGTTAAATTTATATGCTGCCTGACTCCCAACAACTCTGGGTGGCTTACAATGGTTAAAACATTTAAAACAAAGAATACAAACAAAAACAAAAACACACAAAAACCAGCACAAGACAGAACAACAACTATGGCAAAGAAAATAAACTCACAAGGGAACAGAAAGAAAGAAAGGGGCATCATCATATAATTTTTATAAGTGACAGAAGAACACTGAGCCTCTACTGTAAAATATTATATTTAGTAGATAAGAATCAAAAATGTCAGTGACAAGAATTTATTGTTGTTCTGATGCCATTTAACTCAAGCCCAGTATGAAAAAGCCATTAATACTTTAATCCTCTGTTTATCCTTTCAAAGTAAGTTTTGCCAAACTCAGTGGCACTTATTCCCATTTAAGTATACCGGGTTATATATTTAAATAGCATGCCTTAGTGGGAGATGTTAAAAAATGGTAAGAATTATGTACAAACTTGTTCCAAATTCTATAAACAATCACAGAACAGAATTGAATTGAATGATTATCTGTCAATGATGGTCTAATGAAGCCCGCATAAGCAAAGTGATGGACTCAATGACCTCTAAGATCCCTTCCAACTCTAAGATTATATGAATTAGACTGCTTGAAGAAATCCTGTTATGGTTTAATGTTTTCACATCTCCTCAGTAGAAAATTTATGCCTGCTAGAGTTCCTAAGTATGTTCGGAAGGACTGTGAGTCTATGCACATCAAGTCATACTAATAATCCCTGCTCTAAAATAATGTGCTCTAAAAATAGAAATTATCTTGCACAAAACAAAGCAATATGCCACACTAACGTCTGCACTTTTACTGCAAGCATTACAATTTACTACAAGTTCAGAACAGAATCATTTGAATAGTGTAGGAACTGTAACCTCTTAATGTAGATTAATGGCCTAATCATTTCAGGATTATAATACATGACAGCAAAGCAATGCCAAGTTCAGTATAATGACGTTTGGAATGTCTTCCTATCAAGCTTTCTCATAATAACCCAAGTTGCCTCAAAAAGTAAGGCAGGATCCCAGTCACCTTGCCCTCACCTTGGCTGCAAGGGCAAGGAGCTACCAGGCAGCCTAGCAGCAGAAAAAGGAGAGCAAAACCCATTAATGCATACGCGGGGGAGGCAAGTCAGTTCCCCACCTTGCAACCGAGCAAATATCACTCCACGCGCTCCAGAGAGCTACAACCAGGAAGAACATGCTGACCTACCGAGAGGAAGGAGAATGCTAAAACCCAAGAAGAGAACAGAAAGGCACACTTGAGCTGCCACCCTCACCATCAGCTGGGTGGGAGGCGCTCGGTTTTTACCGCGGATCTACTGGCAACCCGCTCTACCACTACTTGCTCACCTGTAACCGACTGACTAGGACATAATACGGCGCCATTTTGTTCGCTGACAAAGATGAAGTCGCTTGGTAATAGCGTCACGCACTGACGTCTTGTAAAAACGTGATTTACAGGCGGGGCTTTTTTAGGTCCATCATCACACTTCCTTTCCAAGAACCGAGAGAGATTGTTTCCTTGGCCCTGGAAGTTATAATATACGTAGTTCCGGAGGGTTGAAAGATCAACAGGAAACAATTTTTTAAAATCCGCGATTGAAAACTGTAAAGCATAGCGATCTGAAAATTTTAGAGGAATCCATCTCCCTGGTTGGACAGAGATAATACCGGCTTACATTGAAATTCTTGTATTTATTTCTTCTTTAGTGGTTGAAGCGAACACTGCCGACATAAAATAAAAGAATATTCAAACGTTATTTCAAATTCGTTCTATAGCCTCAGATTGCACATAAGCGGGTGGAGTATGGGCTTTATCATGAAAGGACTAGATGTGTTAGTCTGTGGCCGTGTATAGCCAGAGCAAAATTTGCAGCGGGTCAGTAGCATGAAAATCTGCCCCAAAGATTACCGAATACTAAAGTAAGTGACATTAAATACTCTATCATGTAATGCGGGAGAGGCGATAGGATAAATGAAAATCTAGAATCTAAACTTAAATTATACCACTATGGTAGCAAAAGCAGTTTAATTAATTAACCCTGAGTTCAGTGAGTGGCTATTGGATTGTATTCTTAAAGGCCAACAGATTTAATTACGACAGTCCTGCAATTTGCAATGGAATCTTAACTACGTTAAGTGCATTAAATAAAAATACATTGATTGTAATTAACAACATAAGAGACAGTGTTTGTTACATGTGAGAACAGTCACTATAGAGTTAAAAGATGGTAAAGTAAAAGCTGTAAAATTGCTATAAAACTAAAAATGGAAAAGCTATAGGTTAACTAAAATTAAACTTTAATTAAAATTCAGTTATGAGTAAACCAGAGTAAAATTATATGCTACAGCAATAGAAGCTATATAATTGAGTAACTGGAGATTAGAAAGAGCAATATAGTAGTCAGGCGTGTCGCATGTGATCACCCTGATTACTTCTAGCTGGCAGTGAATACCTAGAGATTTTTTGCACGCAGTGCAGAATTTGGCAACAGTTTGTGTTATGAAGAGGTTAAAGTCGTAAAGGGATGTAGAATAATCTGGTGTGGCACAATGTGGATGTCTCTGTAAAATGAACGGGAAAGGAGGCTGTCCTTCACGGTTTTGAAGGGTGCAGATGTTCCGAAGAGTCCTGCAACTAAGCGCGTTAGAGATGGGGCTGCTATAGACTCCGATTTCCCCCCTTGCCACCAAAGCGCTTTTAGGATTAAATAAAATTAAAAGTAATTCAATTACTCCTTTCAAGGCAAGCCTAGCGTATAACTGAATGCTAGCCCCTTAAAACTATGAATTGCATGACGATGCTTTGTCCTTTACTCCTTCCAAATGTTTAAAAACTAAAAGAAAAAAAAGCTTGTTTGGATGTGCAGTCGCACAATCACACACACTTAATATAATCTGCATCTTGTAATTCCTATGGATTAAAGAAAAGGCTTTTTCTTCAGACTATCTCTTTTGAGATTTTTGTATGTATCCATCTACGATATAACGATACGACCAGTGACGGTAGATAAAAGGGGCGGGCTTTTTCGGGTCCTAGAAGAGAGATATGTAATTTAGTACTAGGTCAAACCTTTTTATCTCCTTTCTCTAGAATGGTTAGTTCTGCAGTATTTTAAAGCTCGAAGCAAGAGGAAATATTTTCTTTCGCTGGGAGAGGCAGCCCTCTGATTAATCTGCAGGACCTCTGACGTGCCAAGGACCTAGAGAGTAGAGGTCACGGGTGAAACGTCATTAACAACGGCGCGAGGCGAGAGCTGTGGGGATGGCTAAACATCATCCAGATTTAATCTTCTGCCGCAAACAGGCGGGAGTGGGTGAGGAGCCCGTTACGGGGAGGGCGAGTATTACTCTTCAGCCCATACCTGAAGGAGATTTTCATTTAAAAGATGGCCGGGGCGGGAGGAGAGTAATTTTAAACTATCGATGGTAGCCATTCAAATGGATTCCAGCTACTCGTTCCCAACCAGCATGCTGAGCATTCTGAGAGTCGTAGCTACTGGTTGGGCAAATCTGCTATATTTTATGGCATGTTTTATAACTAAAAGCGCTTCACCGTCACTCGTTTTCAGGATCAATTCCTCCGAAACGTAAAAGTAAAGCGCCCAGAATATTCAAACCGAAGAGTTGTAGGGCTGGGCAAGGCGGCGGTATAGTGATAAAGAGAGTGCCTGAAATGAGAGCATTCGGAAATTGTAGCATAGTATTATAAACGTTAGAATTCCTCTTGAAGTCTTTTGCAATCAGATATCCAGGATTTCTGTGGAATGATGATGAAAGAGGACGGCAAGCACTGAAATGAACCAAGGATAGAGGGAAATGAGTTGGGCCAGAAGAATACTTTTTTTACTGGCACTTGGGATTTTTCTCTCTCTCCTTCCCTCTTTCAGAATGGACCAGATGTTTGATAAACAATGGCTGGGTTTGGACATTGGACTAAGAGTGCTGAAGAGACTAAGCCCTTGTAATTTGTATATCATTGTTATAGCTTAATATCCTAGGCTAGATGCCCATTCTCTTTTTAACTTCCCCAAAAAGCATATACAGTATCATGAGATGACTGACCTGACTTTTGACAACCCAGAGAAATCCAGCAAAATTAAAATCTAGCCACTGGCTGCAAGAAGATAGTGAAATCTTGGCCTGCTTTTTTGCATCCAGTCAATTATGATTTATTCAATAAACTGTGTTATAGTATGATATGTAAACTGGATCAGTAAGGCATCTTCAAACATGTGATTTCTTTTTCATATACACATGTATGTTTTTAAAAATAATTCACTACTGATTTTCTTCAATAGCTTGTTATGGAGAATATTTTTACTAAGATTTACTGTTTTAGGTAGATGTAGCAAAAATAAATTCTTTTAAAAATTCACTGGCAACAGGATCTTCCAATCTACAGCTGTGAACTTCTAGTCTCTCCTCTTTTTAGGAAGCTGAGCAATAAGTTTATGTGCCTATATGTCACTACTAACCTCTGACATCATGGAACATAAGGCTTCATTATTGTCTTTAAAAACGATAATTATCTCACTCATTCACCTGCACATGAATAATAGCATAATAAAGGGATAAATAATTTTTAATTCATCTATGTTGTGTTTGAACTCTCCAAATTTCAATATGACTTTCTTATTCTTTTTCTTTGCTAATGCAGCTATTGGAAGACTATGTGAAAAATGTAAGTATAGCTTCATATATATGATATTTTTTGTGAATGTAAGTCAATACCGTCTCCTAATTAATTAAAAATAAACATCACAGTCTTTATTTTAATGTGTGAATATAATTAATTTATTTGGAATAGTTTAAAATAAAAACAGTGTTGTTAATGGTTTGAATTTCTTTCCAAAAAGTTGTTTTGGTGCATACAGAGGTGCAATTAGAACCTATCTGGAAATTTTTAAACCAATTCTGGGATCATATGGCACCTGCAAGAGGTCTAGTTGTCTAAAGCTCTATTTTCATGTGCAGGTAGAGTCCTATATGTAAATATTCATTGGAACTTAATTCCATACATGTGGCTATAGCATTGCACCTTGAATAGACTTGCCACATGCCTGAAAAGCTCATCCTTTGACCTAAATCAGCAGACTTTGCTGACTTGGTATTGTGTTTTTAAAGTGGTAGATATTTAATCAAAATATCAGAGTAGCCAAAATATGTTATGTTTTGGGCTCCAGTAGCTCTTTGAATAGGGCCTGAAAACAGACTGGAAAACAATGTAGATGACAAGACATTAACATTAAATGAATGTATGTGCCATTCCCAGTTAATTAACTTCCTGCCCTATTTTGGATCAGCTGATGTTTCTGAACTGTTTTTCAAAGATAGGCAGATACATAACTTTAATAATATGATCAGAAGATAAAGCATAGCAAGTATATCTCTGCAAATGTGACAAGTAACAAAAGGCTTGCAGCTTCTTGAAAGCTGTTTTATAGTACCAAATGATAGTTTAGGAATTTTGACTGAATCAGCCCACAAACATCAATCCTAATATACTACATTTGATATTCTGCTGGTCCTTCCCCGCAAACAAGAATATATGTACTGTATTTACCTGAAAGAAAGACAGCCTGGGAAGACACCCCTCTGCAAAGGAAAATTGGACTAAAAAAAAAAGGCTTATAAACATGGACAAAATTTCTGTGCTAGCTTCCTCACAGAAATAGCAAGGCATTTAGTTTCAGAAAGTATAGAAAGGGGGTTGTGAAGAAATGTTTGTTAAATAATGCTGTTAGTGGCATGACATATACTGTTTTTCTTGACCCTAAAATAGGATAAGTAACATTTCAATGGATGTAGGAGGATGCATTATCATTTAAAATTATTTGGAGGGTAGCCAAAGGCATCATCATGACACACTGATGGATGGGGCTGCTGTTTCTGAGGTGCTTTGTTTTTATGTGTGTTAAACTATTCCCAAAACTAATACATCTATTTCAGCCATCTTTATTTTTTAGCTGTTGCTGCCAATATTCACAGTGAAATTCTAGGGGACCTATTGACCTCAAAAAGGGATTTGAGGTCTCCATGCTATATACAGATTGCTAAGTACTTGCCATTATGAGGCAGAAGCAATAGTCCAAGTTAGTATAGACTGGAGAAAGATATTATTGTTTGTCCATGGTAGAGAAAAGTAGAAGTTGTTAAACTTCCTCAGTACCAATTGCTTCATGCCACACTAATGTAAAACAATAATTTTATTCCTTCTGGAAACTAGAAATTGAATGTTTATAGCAAGAATTTGAGCAGAGAAATTATAGTTTTTCCCGGCCAGGAAAAACAGAACTGAACTGCTAAAAGAAGCTACTTGTTCTTTCACTATGTGACGTAGAAATAATGCTTAGATTAATTAGGGCAGATAATGAATGTGAATCTCTTAGTAGGTATTTCTAGATCTATTTATATGGTCCAGATTGTCAGTGCTTGTCATTGTGTTACCTATATTTTACTTCATTGATTGATTGATTATGTGCCACCAAATTTGTTTTCAACTGTTAATCACCACATAGATTTTCTCCATGGCAATCTGCCCCTAACCTGTTGTTTCAGGTCTTCCAACTGCACTCATCACCACCGTAACTGAGTCTCTCCACCTTGCTGCTGGTTGTGCTCTTCTTCTCTTTCCTTCCACCTTTCTCAATATCAGAGCCTTCTCTAGGGAGCTAGGTCTTTGCATAATGTGTCCTAAATAGGATAATTTGAGCTTGGTCATTTGTGCCTCGAGTGAGAACTTTGGGTTGATTTGTTCGATGATCCATTTGTTTGTTTTCCTGGCTGTCCACAGTATTGTCAGGAGTCTCATCCAACACCAAAGTTCAAAAGCATCAATGCTCTTCCTATCTCACTTCTTCAAAGTCCAACTTTCACTTCCATAGAGTGTCACAGGGAATACCATGGCTTGCACAATTCTGATCTTTGTAGTTATAGAGATATCACGGCATTTGGATATTTTTTACAAGGCCTTCATGTCTACCAAGTGCTAGTCTGCAGTGTATTTTTTGACTGCTTGTTCCTTACTGTTGATGGTTGATCCTAAAAGGCAAAAGCTATCCACCAATTCAATATCTTCATTGCCAATATTCATTGACTTCTGTTCATTCTGTGAGATCCCCCTCCACTGACTTCAATCATGTGTCTGTAAATTACATTGTTAGCATTGCCTAAATGCTACTTGTCTTTTTAGCATTTCTTTTATATAAGTCAATAAATGACATATAAATTCTGAGTTTTCCCATCCTGAGAAAAATTTAAGCTTACATTGACAAGAGGTTATTTTGGGTTGATCCATTCTATTTTGTTTATGCCCAGACTTGATAGTGTTTTCTAAAAGAAACAAACAAAAAGGTTTAAGTTGGTTAAAGAGGGTTCTTTAACCAACACCACAGAATGGTGGATCAATTAAAATTATGGTGGAGGTCACTTAAATGCCAGTTGCCTTCTGCAAATTCTAAATGCAGTCCGCAAATAACATAAGGTGATATGTTTTGGATGTTAAAAGAAGCTACTTGTTCTGCCACTGCAAACATGTCGCCTTGGAAAAAAAGGCCCAGTGACTACCTACTTTTCAAGTATGTTCCCTTTGTAATCAAATGGACTATATCTTCACTTTGTAGGAATGTTATCTTCTATATATCTCTTATCTCAAGTGAAATGTGTATACTTTTGTTTTCAGGTGATGGCAAGTGTGTTATCTGTGACTCTTATGTACGGCCTTGTACACTGGTGCGCATATGTGACGAGTGCAACTACGGCTCTTATCAAGGGCGCTGTGTGATATGTGGGGGTCCTGGAGTCTCTGATGCCTATTACTGTAAAGAATGTACTATTCAGGAAAAAGATGTAAGTTTTTTAGAAAGCATTTTTCTATTTTTATCCTTTTAAGTATGTACTATATATACTAATTATGTATTCTTAAATTACTGTTGCTCAATGAACTATGTAAACTTTGGGCACTTGAATTCAAATATCTGTACCATTCATTTTTACTAATGCATGCCTTTTTTCATTCAAAACTGCCTTGAAGTGAAAATGCTTCTCATTCAGATTCTCCCAAATTAATTTTTAGCCATAATCCTATAATTAAGATTATTTATTATTTAAATTACAGGAGATTAGAACTAATTGTTTAAAGAAACTTCCAGTATTATAGTTGATCATTAGGGTAGCACTGTAATTAAATTTGAATTGAACAAATATAGTTGGAAAGATAAGGAAACAAATCTCTACAAAACATCTTTCTCACTTTAGCAAAAGCTCTTCAAAAGTCATTCAGATGAACCAAAGAAACAAAGCATTTTATAAGGCACAGTATTATCCTACAAGCATCATGATTGGGATTTTTTAAAAAGTACGTGTGCCATGTACTGGGTCTGATTTTTTTTAAAAAAGATGTACTCTGCATGAATGTATTATATCCATCCACATAAACCCTAATTGGACTCTTGTCCCTTTTTGTTGTCTCATCTATACTTGCGTCATTGTTTTTATTTGCTTGTTGTTGTTTCAAATTCTGCATTCCTGAGTTTCAGGATAGTGCTGTTCAAATAATGCAACTTTCTGGAATTGATTGTAGAATTTGATGGAGAAATTGCATTGAAACAAATCCTACGCTTTTGTATTTCTATACTAGTCTCACCAGGTTCAGTGGGAGATTTCTTTTAAGTAAGTGCTTGTATGAGACTGCAGTCTTGGACATACAGTACTATCTCCTATTAAATCTGATATTAAAAATGGGACTTCATAATTATCTATTGGGAGTATGTGGGTTACTATAGAATAGAAAATCTCTTTCTCTCTCTCTCTCTCTCTCTCACACACACACACACACACACACACATATTCTCTATTTGAATTGTGATATATAGATACTATGATTATTCCTTTTGGAATCCATTAGACTTAGCCTTGTTATAACTGTTTGTCTTCTGTACCATTCCAGCGAGATGGCTGTCCCAAGATTGTCAATCTGGGGAGTTCAAAAACAGATCTCTTTTATGAGCGAAAGAAATATGGCTTCAAGAAAAGATGATCCCATCTCCTCTGTGGAAGTACTCCTAAAATATTTTTGGACTTCAATTTTATAGGAAAGCAATTAAATGTATTTTGTCTCAGTTCTTATAATTTGATGGGAAAAACATTGCTTACTGAAAATTATTCTTGTCATTTTTCAGTGATAACTAATGTTACTGAGGAAGTTAAATATCATTATATGCCTCATAGTAAGTAAGTAGAAATTCAGACCATGGATCTTGATAGTCACAGTACTTTTTTTTTCTGACAGAGTTCTTTCACTGTAAGTTAGGCCAAATCCAAGGCTTTCTCAAAAATTTGACTAGCTGTTCTTTCAATGTTATGGTGGATTATGCCTCAATAAAGTTTTATAGTAATCTTCTAATGGAAAGTCTCATCTCTGCACTTCTTGATCTTTTTTTTTTTTTTTGGCCATTAGTTATTAGTTATTATCAGGGAAATAAATTCAGGCATAAATTAATGCTAGTGATAGCTTGAAGTCCAGAATAATAAAAGGCTATAAAGAATCATCTAGAGTTGCTCAGTGATTGAGGCAGTATACAAGTTGAATAAATGAATAAGAGCAGTGTTTGGTATTGCCATAACCTGTGTTTCTTGCATCAGTACAATATGATTATACCATTAAAAAATCATTAATTTTTGCTGAGAAAGTCTAGCTGCCCCTTGAGACTTAGTCAGATTGTTCACCTGGATATTGTCTGGAACAAGTTCAGCAATGAGGAAATAAAACAGTACTGAACTGAACTGAAATTCCTGGTGCAAACCATGAGAAGCAGGCTATAAAAAGATGGACGTGCATCTTTTTATAGTACAATAATTATCCTATTTCCAAAATCATCCACAGATCCAAAATGCAATCTGTGATTACAAGCTATCAAATTACAGCCAGATTCTGTATATGTTGTAGTCCATGTAGACAAATAATTCAGGTGAAAAAAGGGTTATGGTAATTATGGAAATTTTAAGCACAAAGGTAATAAAACACCTATCCACAGATCAAGTTTAGAAAAGGAAATAACAAGCTTCTCACATCCCCCGAATCCTTTTCTCAGGCATTTCTAAGGTTTTTAGAAAGACATAATTTTCAAATGATTTTATTCATTTCCAGTGTATTGAATGATTTAAGCAAAGCACATTAACTCATACTGCAGATATGTTACTCAAATGGTGTTTTGGAATATTCTGTACTTGTTTTGAAACTTTACTTTTTGATCTGGTTGTCCAGTATTCCTAAACTTTTAAAAAATATGTATTTATTAATGAATTATTGCAAAGAAGCTATGACTGAACTAGTGTTGGAGTTCAGTCTAATCTGTTCTTTCAGTGTTGGAATGAAGGGCATATACCTACATGCAAAAAAATACATATCTTTTTTCATTAGGTCCAGTAATGTAGATATTAGTTTTAGACCACATTATGCCATAATGTAACAGTGAATCAGTTCACTGTATTTCAGCTTCCCTCTGAAAACAAAACAAATATTTTAAGATAGTTATATAGTAAATAGTAAAGAGTGTATTGGGGAGCTGTTCATAAATACTTTTTTTCTTTAAATCACCTCTTGGTTCTTAAAATGAATATGCAAATTGCAACCAGTCTGGTATTTTTAACACTATTATTTAATTCTAGGAAGAGGTTTGTCATTATAATGGGATGTCATTTTATTCATGACTGATGTAAGTGGAGGAACATGTACGCTGCAAGGATCTCTCAAGGGGTATATCTCCCTTGCAGAGGGCAGATTTTATCATTATCACAATATTCCTAGTGGGAATATTGTGATAATGATAAAATATTGTTTTACTTCAGTCCAAATGAGTAAATCATCTTCAGTAATCTCTGTGGTAGAACATAAATATAGAAAGCAGGAATACACCACAAAGAAGGCCAAATTAATTTCTGCCCCTTGCAACCTGAACCATGATAACTTAAGCCCATTTGTACCTGCTAACTCCCTCTCCTCCCCCCCCCCCATTCCAGGTATATTGGTTTACCTTGGTTCCTTTTTATGGTCACATTGGAATATAACAATTTTGGGGATCAGCTCTGAAATAGATGATCAGATGATCTGTTCTGGATTTTGTTTTTTTATTATTTCTCTTGCATGTATTTTGTGATCATGCAGTATGTAAAAATACATAAAAATATTAAACAGAAGCACTGGTTTTCAAACTGTGTAAAGAATTTGGAAACCTCAATCATCACTTGACTTATGCATCTGGACTATCTTTAGAAATCCCCCTAGTTTCTTTGGGCTTTAGATCAGACAGGTGACAAAAGATTTTTTTTTTTTAAAGTAGAGGTATATAGAAACTGCTGCCATTTCACCATGAACTAATACCGGAAAATTTTGCAGCGGGATTTGGACAGCTAGAATGTAGTGCAATGAGACTGCATAGGTATTATAAAGCACTTCATATGTTAAGGGGTAATGTGTTTCTTCATAGGACTTCAATCATAATTAGAAGGGAACTACCAAGTGGATCATGTTAAAATATGTGGTAAAATAAGTGATCTGCAGAAGACGTAATCTTGTCAGGTGTCTACTGTAACTAATTGGTGTTTTGCAAAACTGATTTTTTTTTTTTACAGTTCTCATTCATTGCAATGGGAATATGCAAGATATATTTTTGTATACATTACCTTGCACATATAGTACTAAATAAAAAGGCTGCACAACTGGCTGAAAATTGCACTATTTGTCCAGATCAGGATAGAGCCATAACTATTAAGCTGGGGCCAGATCATGAGAGCAGATATGAAAGGGCCTGTTAGTAATGATCTAAATCACTTAATAATGTGCCTAATCATCTTTCTGAATATTATATATAATATAATGGTTATGTGGTTAGCTTAAATTCAGATGCCTTCTCTCTCATTTGTTTCTCAAATTTGCTCTATCAAGCATTTCAGGAGAGCAATTGTCTAACCAATTAAATCTTTCTAACGAGAGAACTGGCAAGGGAGACATGAAGCACTAAGTCATCTGAATAAGGTGAACATAAAACCTAATGTACTGATTGAAATAATTTCTTGACCCAGTGAGAACAACTTGTGCTTCTGTTACAATGGGCCATACCTCCGTAGGAATACAAACGTCTAAATTGCAGGATCCTCTGCAATTAATAACCATACCTCTGTGATATAAGTTGTGTTTTGCACCTCAAAGTGATTTAATAAGCACTTCTTGGCACCTTTGATTTGACAGGCAGGAAAAAACTCATTTCCTTTGGTTTAACTATCAGCTGATGTGAAGAATGATGGATGATGAATGAGTGCTAATTACAGCCAATTATAGACTGAGTAATCTTTCCTGGTATTAAAACTACTATGATGGAAAGGTGTTTGTTGTTGTTTTTCTTTCTCCTTTTCTTCTAATTGTTCAGTAGGTGCTATTTGATGTGATATTTACTGAATTTTCAAGTCTGCTTTTACAATCTATAACTTCCATTTTATGCATTTTGTTTTGGAATTTTTGAGAAAAGAAATGAGATTCTGTGTTACGGTAAATACTAGTAACTATATTAACATATCTGGATTTACATGTTTGTTTCAGAGTAACTCACGTTGTTTCATACTATTTAGAAATATACTAAAATACCTGGAAATTTCAGGACTAATTACATCAGAATTTTTTCAGTATATATAAAGCTATTTGCTTCCAAAAAACAAGGAATTACTGGATTTATTAATATACTATTTTTTATGAATTGTCTGAAAATATTTACTACTATGATCTGTCTTCCTAATTATCCTTAACTAGTTCCATTATAAATATAAATAAGCATGGTGCAATATTATAGACTGATGAGTTATATACTTGGAAAAAAGAAAACCCTCTTGTTCTGCATTCTTACATTTCTTGGAATGAGAATATATGGCTTTTTTTCACCTAAACATAGATGATTAATTTTGCCCTTAAATACCATGACAACTAGATTAGAAAAATGGGACTTGGTTGTGCTTTTAAAGATATGGGATCTATCTGGTCTCAATGAATTTAGGAGAATAACTATAGATTGTAATGATAATTACAATTATCCTACTTTTCTATGTCTAGAAAAGCAAATATTCTTATCTCTCATTGAACAAATCCCTTGTTTTTTAATCAGTTGAGCTTCATCATTCATCAAGTTCAGCTGATGAGCACAGGAAAACACATTACTTTATGCCTTTTAGTGACCAGTTGCATTAAAGTTTTAAATTTTAAAATGTCATTTCAATAATATAGAGCACTGTCCCATATCTATACAGATAGTTGTGATGTTTGCATTAATTTTAATTAACCTATTATCCAGTATTCAGCAATGTATAGTTGTTCCAGTGGGATTTAGTTTCAACTATGTATGTTTAGGCTTACCACTTTACAATTAAGTACTGTACTAGCTTGTTTTTGATTTGGGCTTCCAAGGCAGGATAATTAAAGATTCAACTCAATGCAGTTGGAAAGTGCTTTTGTACACCTCAGGATCTTTTAGTGATTACTTTTCAATATTTAAAGTTTTATTTAAAAGTTAATAATGTTCAAAAATATATTTTCCCCTTGATTTAGGCTTAAGTTGAAAAAAACTAGCTTTGCATTAAATACTAGATAGGGTATCTGGGTCATTCATTCCATGCTCGTAAGGACCACAAAAGAAATAGTACAGTATAATGGAGAAGAGTTTTCTCCCAAGCATAACAGTCAGGTTGTTCAACTAAACAGCCGTTATCTGTGAACCATGCAACAAATAGGATTAACCAGGCTGAGCTCCATATTCTTTAGCACTGGAAAATAAATGAATAAGTCTCTTCTGCATTCAACTCACAAAATGCTCTAATATGGAAACATCTTTGAAGAAAAATATAGACGCCAGTCAGCAGAAGCAGATAAATTGACCAGCGCAGCTTCACCTTTTTGTCCATTATTGCTTTTTACTGTTTATTTGACAATTCTAAGTTCGAGGCCGCTTTTTAACAAAAACTACATTTCCCATGAACCTCCTTCAAGCCGTCCCAATTCTTCGTGCACACATTGGAAAATCTTTTAGCCACTGGTTAAACCAAGAGACCAATCTGCAGAAGCCTTCACGTCACTGGCCAATTGGAAGGCTGTTGCTATCAGGGCGCTGTTATTTTTAGAACTGCGTGTGCTTCTACGCCTTGCAGGCTGTTCTCTCGAGCTCGCTGCTTGCGTCTGAAGTTACGTTGACGAGGACGATGCATCGGCGCACTGGTAAGAAAGTAGTCCCTAATCATGCGGACTCGGATTCACAGTTCAGCGAAGGGAAACGCACCGCATGAATAGTTAAAATGCCATCTGACAGCCGTGTCTTGTGGGGTTTTGTTTAGGGGATGTGAGGTGATTTGCATATCCTCCAGCAT